AGCAAATATTACGAAGGGTGCCAGGGATGCACATGCCCTTATAATGTCACATAAACAAAGCAAGCTAAAAGCTGTAGTGTTAGTGAAGACAGAAACGATGAAGCAGCGGCTTTTCAATGCATCCAAGCAGGGAACGTGACATATCTGTCACAAAATTTACCTTCATTTTGAGAGCTGAAAACGACTCGAATAAAGTCTTACCTAAGCAAAAGATTCATTGTAACCGTTTTATCGACAGGATCGAGTACAAATCGAATTTTGGCCAAAAACTCATAACCACCACGATAGATGCCAGACAGAAGGAGTGTATGTGCACTTTTACCTTCCGGAACTCGATCGGTGCGTTCACACGGTGCCATTCCGAAGTTATCGATCATTTCGCGCACAGCAGCTGCAAAAAAGCAAGCTAAATTGGATAAGATAAAAGATTAAGTCAACAATTACAGCTATCTGACAAAGCACTGGGGTGCTGGTGATCACAAAATGTACAGTAAGTTATAGCCTAACGAGTGATAAAAAAAAAAAAAGTGGATGGAAAGAGCAAGAAAAAGACAAAAATGTCAAATTATACCGAACTTTCTCCCTCAAACTGCCAAACCAAGAGCCTTGTTGTATGGGAATAGCAAAAAAATGGGCAGTAACGAAATGCGGCAGCGCATGAGAAGAGACTCGGTCATATTTTATCCGACTTGAGCGTTTATGAGACTATGCAAAAAACACAAAACGCAGACTGTGAGACGCGCCATGAGAAATAAAATGAAAAAAAAAAAGCAAAAGAAAAAAACTCAGGAGCTTATGTATTTTTCGGCCTATTTTACAAGAACAAATAGATTTCTTAAGAATAAGAAAGTGCCAAGAAACTGAAGTGTCTGCACAGTATCGCCATGAGTGGAAAAGATCTCTCGATGTGCACTTACAAATGTAGCAGCGGGTTGCGGCGCTTCCCAACCCTTCCTAATTAAATTACCTGACTACAAATTTGGAAGAATCGTATGCCGATATACAAGTTGAAAGCATATTTGGAAGGACACCGCGCACTGAGTGGAACACTACCAGTGCGTAGCTTTCACCGGATATTTCAAAATTAGCAGATCGGGAAAATCAACAAATGTCTCGGCTCACTGATTTGCATCTCAACTATAATGTTCGAGGCGATAATGTCGTCCGAACAGACTACCCCACTGTAATGGACAGGATTCCAGTTTGCAAAAGGAAGCCCTCTCGCCGGCATCTGCCGATTCATTCAGCTATCGTTCTGTTTTGATATATGCATTCCCGATTGAATAATGCAGAAATATTTCAAGACTAGATCAAATGCGACTTATCTATATACTGCAAAGTTCTTGCTCTAGGTTGCATGAACCAGCGAGTGGTCGCTGTGGCAAGAGGCTACCAACTGGCTTATCACAAAATGGGATATGAATTTTTGACTTGAAATGCTACACAACAGGCAAAACAATCCATTCAAAGCACAGTACTAACCTTGCAAGGAGTGAACTGCTGATAAAGCGTATGTTTCGTCCACCTGGACTTTGCTAGCCATCTG